ATTATTTTACTATTTATTGTAAAATTGCAATGGTAAGGCAGGACAAAGAAGTCACCAACATTCTTGCGTAGAGTAAGCAATGTTTTGAGCATGCATATGTGTCGTTCCATTCTTGTGAAGAGATCGATTTTGATGAGTATGATTTAATTTAATTAGTTACGGTATGACTCAATTACAATAAAAAATTTTGTCAAGTTTTTATTAGATTATACATACATTGCATGGATATTTAAGGCTTTTTTGTATGCAACATACATTGAAGATGTGTTGAGAATAAGACTTGTTTGAATCATAATTGACTAGATTGCAGAAAGATTAACACAATAATGATAAAGCACATAACTTTAAATTTACTTATAACTATATTTTTCATAGTTAAATTTTATCACGTTCATCATTATCATGACACAATCATTTTCAAAATATAATAAATGTGTTGTTCAAGGTTAAACATTTTAAAATATTTTTACAGTATATAGTAGATATTCTAAATCAAGGTTGAATTATTTTACAAAGAAAAAGTAAATTAGCAATTATGATTTTTACTATAGTGTATCTAATATGGATTTTTCTTCTTCTTCTTTTTACTTATTCATCTTTTAAGTCTCTTTTAAAATCTCATATGAAGATAATAAAACACATTAATGGAGGAGAGATTCATAAATATATTGAATCTGTAATATTAAAAAGAAAAAATCGAAATAAACTGCTTACTTTCTCTCTCAAATATAATTCAATTTGTACTTTGATATGTATGTTTATTTGTAGCATCCTATTATCTATTTTTGTCTCGAAAGTATTTGAATGTATATTTAATTTGATTATCTCCATTTTAATTTTAATTTATGATATATTTTGTATAACAGAAAATTAGATCAGAAATAAGTATATACATAATATGAATTAAGATGCTAAATCTACAATTTTTTTTGTTTTTTTTAAAAATACGTTAGAAACAAAGTAATTTGTTTAAACAAAGCAAAGGTTAGGGATGGTAATATATAACAATTACCTTCATTGTATAGTTTTCCACTACCAAACTCATCTGCTGCCAACATATCTACATCTTCATTTTCATCATGAGTTAGATGATTTGATAATCTGTTATCTGTTACAAATAATATAGAATTTGAATATATTGCAGATGCTTATTGAATATTGTTATGTTCTTTTAGTGATATACCTTTGAAAATTGCCATTTTCCGTTGTTAACATAGGCGAGTATACATTATAATCCATAAATATATACTTACCCTTAGACTTTCTTGAATGTAGATGAACTAATTTGCAAATTTACTATAAAAATTAGACATTATCTTGTTTTTATGTATAAGAATAGTAATATTTAATATGTATAATTCATGAAATTATATAGTATTTCTTTTAAATCTGAAGTAGATAAGAACGTATACTACAGTGAAGAAACATATGAAAAAATATATTTTTAAACAAACAAATACCTGTAGAATACCTATTTGGAGTATTGAAAGTAGATGAATAAGTATGCTCATCCACTAAAAACTCTTGCCCTTTTAGCAACTGAGCTAGTGCTTGCCAAATCTACCCAAATAATTAATAGTTAGTTAAAATAAATAATGAAGAAAGTTTACCATGAATTCACACAATGTTAGGTAATATATGAATTACATTTTATGGAATGTCAATAAACAAAAAGTTTAAGATTTAAGAGTATTATTTATTAAACAATATGAATTATATCAGAGTGTAAATTACAGTTAATAATCGGATGAAATAATATATTTTTCCTGTAATACAAACCTCTAGAAAAACTTTGTGGCATACTGATGGGATACGAATAAATATGTTCATCCACTAAAATTTCTTTCCCCTTTGACACAGGAAAAGCTGTAGATGAAGTGCTTTGCAAATCTACCAAAAATATAATAAAATAAAGTTAATTAAACAAATTAAAAAGAAGAAATTTTAGATGAAATGCACAAAAAGGTAGTTAATAGATGAAATAAGTTTTATGAAATTTGAAGAAGATAAAAGTTTTAAAAATGAAAAATATATAGGTAGTGTAATATATTTCACTGTTGTATAGTAGAAGACATGTACTATATTGAGCAATAAAAATAGAGGAGATCAAATTATTGACATCTGATGAGTATTTTCCACGTTTTTAATTCTGTCGTAAGCTAAATCTTTGTTTTCTTGCTAATTTCTTCTGATCTGTCATGACTTTGTTATGAGTTATTGAACTTGAAATCTAATTATATGGTGAATTACCATGAATAAATGCAGTTGACCAAATAGCAGTTATTTTAAAATTCAGATTAGTGCATTTAGTTAAATAGCTGTTAATTTTAAAAAATATTAATTATATTATCATTATGATATTGTGAGTTATTAGACAGTAAATATTTCGGAGTATAGCAGTTTAAAATTATAACTGTTTTTTTTATTGTTTGTGATTTTGAATAGATTAAGGACCTCAAAGAGAAATAAATCGATTTATAGTTATGCTGAAACTTTTTAACAGGTTTAACTTTATAATAACTTGGGAAAATATATTCTTCACTTGTAACAATTACTAAGAAGATTAATATTTGTTTAATCTCTCTCTCTCTCAATGTTTTTGATATGTATTTACCATATCATTCATAAGAGATAGAAGTAGTTGAATGTTGTAACATATGTGATCCTAGTAAAAATTATGTGAATCAATAATTTCTTTGACATTTCTTTTATTTATGTTAGATCTGAATATGCATTTGTTTTTAAGGAGCTGTCCCAAACTATAGGCATTATGTGAAGGGTAACAAAATATACACAGAGGTAATGAGAGCAATATTTGTCATTGCTTTGGATCAAATTCCTCATTACAATTTATTTGTGCTTTGAAATTTTCATCTATTCAATGCTAGGTTCCTTCTTATAATTGTATATATATATGAGTTACTGTTAAGTAACATCTATTGTATGACGTGTTATAAAAAGTGCACCAAATGCAGTAGATATTGCATAAAATATATAAAGATCATGCAGAGGATTTGATAGGAATGTCTATGAACACGTTTGAGTATTTGATGAGTTAGTTTATTTGATAATTATATATGAAATAAGATACTGACACCAACACTTGATACAAAACTTATTATAACTATGTGTAGGATGTTGCCTTTCTTTTCATCAGGTTGTAGTTTGCTTCCTTTTAGGTTCTTGACCCTCCCTCTAAATAATATAATCAAGGAAAAATATATTTAAGATAGTATTTTAAAGAATGTTATGTTTTGCTATGTAAAATACTCTATTTTTATAGCATTTGTGTTATTGAAGATTTATTATATATGATTTATCTATTTTTGAAATTAGTTCACCAAGTTTGCGCACATTGATACAATTGTCAGTGTGTTGTTTAGTGTGAATTTGGTGCGAATGTTTTGGTGCAATTTCGGGGTCTATTTATACTGTTTTTATCGTGCAGTTTTTGGTGCAGTTCCAATGTTTTTCTGGTGGTTTTTTGGGTGCAATTCTAACGTTGTTTTAGAGATGATTTTGATGCTGCTGTTTTGGTTTAATTCCAATGATGTTTTAATATTTTTATTATGAAAATTTAGTGCAGCTTTGGATCTTTTCTGCTGCTGTGTTGGTGCAACTTTGGGGCTGTAGCATTGTGAATATAAATGAAGATTCAACATGTTATATAAAGGAGAAAATAATCAAAATGGTCCTTAATGTATGGGCTTTGATTCCATTTGGTCCTTAATGTATGGACTTGATGGAAATGGTCTTTTATGTATCATAAATTGTGATCAATTTGGTCCTTAACCCTAAAATTAATATATTTCATTTTTTTTGCCATCAAAATACATGAAATATGTAAAAGATGCGCTCGTTCAAGACTTTCTTTCCCCTGTTTCCAAAAATTCCAAAAGAGCACATCAATTTTTTTTAACCAAAAGAGCAAAATCGCTCTTGACGGAGCGATTTTCTTCTGACAAAATTGACGCCGTTACTCCTTTAAAAAACATAAAAATCGCTGCCGGTCCAATTTTTTTTTCTTTTTTCTTTAAAATCGCTGTTGTGAATTTATTTTTTAACAACGCTGCCTCAACAGCTTTTAAAAAATAGAAATAGCTGCTATA